CCTTTACAGGAGCCAACATCTGTATTTAATTTTATCTATATGTATGATATTTATATCCCACCTTTCCTTCAAGGAGCACAAGGTAGCACACAGGGTTCCCTATCTCCCCATGTTACCCTGACAACAACCCTGTGAGGTAGGTGAGGCTGAGCATTTGTGATCCAAGGTCACCCAGTGAGCAGGGTTTTTGAATGAATGAATGAATGAATGAATTTACTTTATTACGGTCACAGACCAACATGAGCAAAACATCTAAATAAATAGCATAACAGTATCTCTAAGCCAATGATTATTAAATAAATGGGAGCAAAATGTAAATTAAAACATATACATAGAATACTTGATTAAACATAGGTAATGGATGAGTAAAAACTGATAAGAGAAATTAAAAGAGATCAGTTAAAAACAGCAATATGGGGTGGGGCTTCAGAAGTGGGGATCTAACAATATGGGCCTTCAATCTAGGACTGATTTGTAGCATAGATCATCCTTCAACGGATATCTATCATGGCAGCGGAAAATCTGGCAACTAAATATGTGACTTATGGGCTTTCGTCCTGTAGTAATAGGGAGATGTAGTGTTGTTCTGAATGCCCAGGGAACTTATATACGATAGGCTGGATAAACCTGGCTCATATGTCTATGTAATACTGGCAAGGAAGAAGGGCATGATCCGTTGTTTCCTGCTGCCCAGAGCCCCATGGGCATTTCCTCTCCTCCTATGGTATCCTCCTATAATGGCCTTCCTGGACTGCTGAACGGAGGGCCTGACATCGGGCCAAAGAGAAAACCCTTTTGTTATTTCAAGGTTAGCTATGTATGGCATTTGGGAAGTCGAGTGTCTTCTAGGTTTTTGAACCATTGTCCTCCAGGGTGCAGTGTCAAGCAGTCCTGCGGACAAACTTGGATAGGCTTAGGTTTTCCCCAAGCAGATCCGCATCACAGTCTCTCCCACAAATAATTTTGTACTGAGCAGAAAGAACAGCTTGAATGCTTATTCTTAGGGTATGGAAAGTACCTGGGCCATTCTTGGGTGACTCTGAGCACTGCATAAAATGTTTGAAGTGCTGGATTTTTGCTGCACTGGCCCATAGAACAGAATCACCCTATAAATGCAGAAGCAGTAGCTTATGCAAATCAGACTGTTACAGTGCAAGTTGAGCTCTAATTAAAGCAGTTGATTTGTGTGAAGCATATGACATTAAGGTCATTATTACAATTATAGTTAGCTGCCTTTCCCCCCCACCCTCTCCTGTGTGAAACCCCCTTCCTTTGAAATATATTATCTAATTTGCATTTTATTCCAGTATCCTGATATTTGATCCTTCGTGTACATATTTTAACTCCCACAGCAGACTCTACCAGATAATACAGGATCGTTGAGTCAGCAGCCTAAAGGTAGTGCAGCATGTAATTACTGTGTTTCCTCTTCCAGTCTCTACTGGGGCAGACATCTGCTTTGTAGGCATGGAAAAATGACTCATACAGCAACAAGGTAGACCCCTGGATCCTCAGTGTAACCTCTGTACAATTCCAGTTCTCAGCGTCAGTATAAATGTTGTACTTGTAGGAATGTTACAGTCTGCTTCTCTGACAGTCAGCTCTATTGCACAGGTTATTCATTCAAAGATGAAGACCAGGTTAGTCTGCTCCCCTTCCTTGTGGTGAGGAGTTGCGGTGGACCACGTGGCCACCCACTCTCCCCAGGGGCGGGGGACGAAGTCCCGTGTTGCCCTGGGGATCCTGGCCACGTCAACACTCAGCCAGCCAATCCGCTGGCAGGTGGGGGCATGGCCGGGACCATTTAAATGGAGGCGCAAGCCAGAGGGCTTCCTCCTGGCTTGCTCCTTCAATCTCCCACCCTCCCTCCCTTGTTTGCAGGTTTTCATTGGCCTTGCTATGGACCTTGGTTGGTTGCCGTTGAGGGGCCTGGTAGGAATTTTTCCACTTGGCAAAATTGGCATGGGCCATTTGGTTTTCACCTACCTCATAGCAATCATCACAACTTTGTAAGGTTTTGTGGTTAGGCATTGTTTGACCTTTTGATGGGGGAGGGGAGGTGTGGCCATCACCTGCCCCTCCAAGCTTAAGGGTATTCTGTTAAAGGAATCTGGGGGTGTGGATCTTGTCCCAAGCCTGGGCCGGGGCTAGGGCCATGACATGACCCCTTTGGGAACCCCTGGGGGAGCTTGAGTTGGTCTGCATGGACGGGGCTCCCCCTTCTGGTGGTTTACCCTTACCGGACTCCCTGTGCAGCGGGCAGGAGTCAGATATAGTCGGGTCCATTCAATGCCTAAGCCAATTACCGCTCACATTTTGTAATCAATAAAGTTGTGGCCAAAATTTACCCAATAACATTAACCTAATATCTGTGTTCAGGTGTGTTTTATTCCTCAACAAGGGTGTGGTTGTGGTGTCTAGACATGCAAAAGATGTTTCCTTGCTGCAGAGTGTTTCTTTTCATTATTTGTTACTTTGTCATCACAATCTCGCAGTTTCTTCCATGGAGCTTCACAGCTCTTCCACCACTTGCAAGGTGCTCCTTTGCTGAAAATCATTTCTATTCTTTGCAGAAAATAAGTCTGTATGTGGATTCCTTTGCATGCCCAGGTTTCGTCGCAATTAATCCATGCACACAATACATCTCTTTGCACCTCTGAGTGCATAAAGGTCTATAGAACAGGGTGAATATATATCAATGTTCCATTTTGCATTTATGAAGATTATTGTTTGCTTCTCTGTATCAAAACAAAACAAAACCTGTCCCATATACGAAGACTACGTCTTGGCATCATTTGTTCACTCACTTTTTTATAGAGTCCCATGTATTGTTCTGCCAGTTGGGCTCCATTCACTTCCATTTTCCATTCATTCCAAAACAAACACACATTGAAAGCAACCCTTAAATAAGAAACTACAGAGTACACCAACATTCAGAATATTTTAATAAAAATGTGATGGGAGGACAATTCCTTCTTCACTTCATGGATGTGGATGGAGCTTATGATCCCACATACCACTGAATCCATTTGGGAGCACAATCTTACATATCTGCCTAAGGAATGCTTTGTTGCTGAGGGGAAAATGGAGTGAGGATCCAATACAGTGGTACCTCAGGTTACAAACACCTCGGGTTACAAACACTTTGACTCCGCTGACCTGGAAGTAGTACCTCAGGATAAGAACTTTCCCCCAGGATGAGAACAGAAATCGTGTGGTGGCAGCAGGAGGCCCCATTAGCTAAAGTGGTACCTCAGGTTAAGAACAATTTCAGGTTAAGAACGGACATCCGGAACAAATTAAATTCATAACCAGAGGTACCACTGTATAACTTTCTCAGTAGAAGCTTGCATTGGCAGCAATTAGTCCTAACTTGCAGCCAAGGTTTGTTCTACAGGAAATAATTGCTGTGAATCTACTGGATTCCTTAAAACCTCTTTACTTTAGACACATATTTAGACGATGTTGGAGACAGAAGGGCTATGGAGATAATCTTCTCTTGCCTTCTATAGAGTTGTGTGGTGATAAACAACCCCTTTGGGGAAAGAAGTTGCAACATGCATAAATATTACTTTGAAAATGTCCCTCTCCTTGTCCATATTTTAAGCTTTGTTCCTAGGAGCAAGGGCATGTCAAAACTCCAGTTGGCATGGTTTCTAAGAGCTCATTTCCCAACCAAGGGCATTATCCTAAAACATTGGAAGTCCTCCATTACTGCTAGCACTGACCAACGGCTGAGGGATTCATTAGACCAAGCAGAGGTCTGCTCTAAGCAAGATAACTCTGGAAAATGTCATGCCATTTGGCAGAATGTTCTGGATTTGCATGGTGACTGGACTGTGTGGCTGTGAAGCTTACTTGTGTGCCTTGTTGATCGATTTGGCAACTGAACTGAAGTTTTATTTGGTTTTCAATCCTCGTTTTTCTGTCTTCCTCTACTGCATATTCAGTAACGCAACTCCCAACTAGAGAAATGAATTTTGGGGTATAGGGAAATTGGGAAAATAATCCAGATATAGTACTCTGAAGAAGCAAAGACTCAGAAATATGCCATACTGTCAGGGCTTTTTTTCAGCCGGAACTCACCAGAACTCAGTTCCGGCACCTCTCAGGTAGGTGCCATTGCCATTCTGAGAGAATGAGGGAGGTGTTCATGGTGAGTTCTGGTACCTCTTTTTTCTATAAATAAAGCACTGCATACTATCCATGTCTGTCTTTTACGTACTTACCACTTCTACGTGTGCATCTGTTGTGATAGGACCTAAAAGCAGTGGGAATGGAGAATAGATCCCCAGAAATCTTTGAATGAATGAATGACAGTTTAATCAGGTACACACAGAGCATGATTGTAGCAACTGCAAACCTGCAACAAACTAATAAGAACTGTAATTATCCAGCCAATACACTATTCTTGGTATCCTACTAAAATATGAATAGTTCGGAGTGAAGGGCACGGTTTTATCATCCATCCTAATTACTGAAATTACTTTCGGTTATCTAGGTATATTATGCAAAACTCACCATAAATTCTCATTATGGAAGATGCAGACTATGGAGCTGTGTGGATGAAATTACATCCGGAACCCCTAAATCAGAAAATATGAGTTTTCTAACCTCATTACTATGAAGTATGTTTCATCCATCAGAGAGGTATATTGGCAGGCAGCCATATACCTTTTATTCCATAAAAGCAGGGGTGACTACCTATTGGGGCTCCAGATGTTGCTGTACTACAGCTCTCATCATTCCTATTGGTCATGCTGGCTGGTACTGATGAGAGTTGGGAGTTCAACAACATCTGGAAGGCCACAGGTTAGCCATTCCTGCCATATACCGTTTATCAGCTGTTCAAGGATAGGCTGTCTCAGCTGAACTCTTTGATCCACCTGGATTTTTCCATCACTTTAGAGTTTCCATGGCTACAGAACCCATTCCTGGTTCCGCTGAAGCTGCTTGCTATGGAACTTGTGAAGCCTTTAACATTCACAGAATGTAGTTACGGAGAAATGACACATTACAGCTAAGTTTGTTCAGAGTTTGCCCAGGCTCCATTTCCTTCTTTCTGCAAACTACCTTTTGTTCCATGGGACAAACCTATGAAGGGTTTTTAATTCCCTTCCCACAGCATCACGAACTGCACGTCTCCCTGTCACCATCATGAGCTGGGGAGAGGGGAATGAAGGAGATAAAATCTAGAGGAGGTGGGCAAGTTGTGAGGAGATGGGAGACTGGGTGAGCTGCAAGCTGAACAGGATATGTAAAGGGAAGGGGACCCAGCAGGGTTGGGGTGGCAGAGGCTGGTAAGCAGATGGGGTTGGTCAAGCTCATAATAATAGTAATAACACATTGTGTGGCGAGATCCCGCCTCCCCCAGGAAGAAATAAAGACACAGGGCACCAAATATTAAGGTTAATGGGCGAAATAGGCCACAACTTTATTGATTACAGGAATGAGTGGTATTGGTTTAGGCATTGGTTCTAAAGACTAGCCGGCTTCAGCCCGATTGCATGAAGACCGGCAAGGGTTAACCAGCAGTAGGGGGAGTCCTGCTGAGGCACGTCAACTAGGAGCTCCCCCGGGGTCACCGTTCGGGGGCGTGTTTCAGGCCCACACCTCCATAGGTTTCGGACAGGGCAACGCCCCCCGGAGTCCTTTATCGGACTACCCTTTGCTGTGGGGGGAGACGATGGCGCTTCCTCCCCCCCCTCAAATACTCTTAACCCTCTCTTACCAATGCCTAACCGACAATGCCGAAGTTGTGACGAGTTGCTACGAGGTAGGTGAAAAACCAATTGGCTGAAATTACCAATTGGGAAAAATTCCTACCAGGCCCCTTGCGGCGACCGACCGTAGTCCATAGCAAGGTCCAGGTGTGGCGAAAAGAGGGGGAGCCTCGGCCGCGCCGGCCCTAAATAGGCCAGGCCACGCCTCCCCCCTCAGCCAGCCTATTGGCTGGCTGGCTGGATGACGCGGCCAAGGATTCCCCTGATCTCGCGGGGGCTGGGAGTTGCCCCCCTGCACGTGGGGTGAGCGTGACGCCTGCAACCCCACCTCCTCCCAAGCTCGGAAGTGGCTTTGCCATCATTCCTCAAATACAGAAGCTGATTAAAATGGTGACATAACTTGGGGGTCATGTGATAGCTGTTACTTCGCATACAAATAAGTACAATAATGTGTTTATTTACTGTTTCCCCCGCTCCACTCTTCCTGAGGTGGGGAAATGTGTGCAACATTCCTATGAACCAGAGCTGGGTTTTATTTGAAGTTGGGGGAAAGAGATGTGTAATCTTCCCTTTTGAAATGAATTGCAGAGGCACCAAGGTCTATTTGAGCTGAACCTTGACACTGCTTTGAAGTGGCGCAAAGCAAAGTGGAACACAAACACACACCCATTCCACTAGTTGGAAATGATACAGACTGTTTTGTGATGAATGGTACTGGCAAGCCATTGACTCAAAAAATGAGCAGCGGCTCCTGTGCTTTTTGATGGCAAGGGAGGAGAGAGACTCAGTGTTTGCCATCGGGGATGGCTGTTTCCAGCTGCCTTTTTCTGACCTTCAAGTCCAAGAGCCGTCAGGTGGGAGCGGCCTCTAAAAGAAATGTGAGGGGCGGGAGCAGTCGGTGAGGAGGGGTGCCACCACACAGCTGGCCATGGAGTCACTGTCATTTCCCAGGTGGAGGATGAAGGAAGAAGAAGAAGAAGAAGAAGAAGAAGAAGAAGAAGAAGAAGAAGAAGAAGAAGAAGAAGAAGAAGAAGAAGAAGAAGAAGAAGAGGAGGAGGAGGAGGAGGAGGAGGAGTAGTTTGGATTTGATACCCCGCTTTATCACTACCCGAAGGAGTCTCAAAGCAGCTAACAATCTCCTTTCCCTTCCTCCCCCACAACAAACACTCTGTGAGGTGAGTGGGGCTGAGAGACTTCAGAGAAGTGTGACTAGCCCAAGGTCAGCAGCTGCATGTGGAAGAGCAGGGAAGCGAACCCGGTTCACCAGATTACGAGTCCACCACTCTTAACCACTACACCACACTGGCTCAGAAGCACCACCCAGATACACCGGAGAGAGACTCTTTGTCATCAGGGGCTGGCTGTTTCCACTTTCCTTGCCCTATCCTCCAGCCATGGGAGCTTGCATAAATGAGCTGCTTCCAGACATACTCTGGGTATAACGACCCCTGGTAACGAACCAGCTAACCAGCAGTAAGCATACTCCCGTCAGTTCAAGATAGCTTTATTTACAGAAACAAACATACAGAGCGGAGCTTCGCACTCCCTCTTAGTGGCAATAGATCTTCTAATCTGAATCAGAGTTCCGCCTCCAACAGGAATGATGCCAGAACCTCGTATTTCTACCCATCCCCTTCCGCTCCTCTTTGCTGCGATCCCAGCATCAAGACCTAGGACTGGGATCTTGGACTGGCCCTTCCCCACTGTCAGTGGATAGAGTTTCTGAGCCTCTCCTATCCGTTTGCAGCCTCGCCTTGCCATGGCCACCTTCCAACTCTCCCTCTTCATCTGAACTAGGACCTTGTGAAGGGCAGGCTGTGGGCTGTCAACTTTGGAATCTAGCTCTTCTCTCTCATCAGAAAAGTCAGCCTGTGGACTGTTAGTTCTGAAGTTTAACCCTTCTGTTGGGTCCTGGGGGGGACATGTTCCTGACACTGGGGGCTTTCTGGGCTTTGGGGTTGACTGCCTGCTGAGGGCCTAAAGGGCCCTGCCCTTGCCTCTTTCCACCTGGCTTGGGGCGGGGCCTGACAAGCTTCATAAGGACTGCGGCTGCTGCTTAGCACCAAGGTCTCCTCTTTTAAATTGTTTTTAATTTTCATCTGTGTTGTTTTAAATGACACCATCTTGGCTGTGAGCCCTGGAAGACCTGCACCCTGCCTTACTGGGCCTTTTCCCATCTGACCTGGGAGAGCGGAGTGCTGACTGACTCCAGCTACAAAAGCTGAGGCTGTTGAACAGATTCTTGGGCTGGAGTATTAGTTACGGGGGTTTGAGAGAACTGTTGCTGTTATTATCTTTCGTTTTAGATCTCATGATTTATATGGAAAATGTTTCCATTAGGTTGTGTACTTTTTGATGTGATTTATTTATTGTTGATGACTTCTGTTACGTCTGTAATTATGGAAATCTTGTCACGTTGTGTGCCGCCTTGAGCATAGTTTCAACTATGGAAAGGCGACATACAAACAAAATGATGATGATTATGATGCATAAAAATGGGGGTGATGCTGGGTATTAATGCCAGCAACATTTTTGTTACTTTTTTATTTGACGGTATTGGGTATTTTTTTTAATCTATTGATGGGCTTTATGCTCACATGGATGCTGATGTATGTTAAATGAACTTATAATTTGGGATTTTTTTAGTGTTATGTTGTAGCAATATAATGATGTAGACTGTTTGTTGCTTATGTGAACCATTCTGACCATACTTGTAGAAAACGTCGTATGTGAATAAATTGATTTTGACTATATCTAATGTGTATTTTGAGGAATCAGAATCCTGGGAATGAACCTTGAACATCAAGGAGTAATTCTAAGAACATCTTTGCTGGAATCAAAAGGACTTGTTTATTAATTAGTCAGATGAGCTCACAAAGAGACTGTTTCTAGGGAAATCATACAGTTCAGAGAATTAGCCCAAAAAACCCACAACTTTACATTCATGGAAACATCGTTCTGTGTATGACAAATACAATATTCCTAATTGTTAAATAGAGCATTTTTAGTTTATTGTGTGCATCAAGGTTAATAGTATGTTGATATTATGCTTCTTAAATATGTGGCATAGGCATTTTTAGTATTATTATTTTTTAAATATTCCATTTAACCTTGAAGGAGGAAATACTAATTAAATACTTTATCCCACGTCACTGATTGTGTGTGTGTGTGTGTGTGTGTCCTACAAGCCTATATTTGTGTACTGAAAACACAATGCTAACGTTAAAGAATTTCCATTCAGCTTAATGGCATGTCTTTCCTCTTCAGAGTTATTAGGGCCAAAGTGGGCAATCTGTTTGCCCATACAGTATTAGGTAGATGGCAAGGACTTTGCACCAGTGGACATGGCTGAGTCAGTGACAAGGCAAGCCTGGGCTGGTGGCCAAACAGTTCACACACAATTATCCTAACTCATTCTTTCTCTCACGCAGCTACTACTATGCTTCAAGATCCACTGTCCTGTGATATCATATATGAGTTTGCACTACTGATGAAGCCCAGGACAGTGAAACAAGGCTAATATTCCAGAAATCCTTGTCTTAGACTCTGTGAAAGGATTCTGTGGAACTGCAACAACCTTTCGTGTGGATTGTTGGACTCTATGAACAGACAGGTGGAATAGACACTTTCACAGATATGGACCTCATGCATAAACTGATTAGAGAATGAACTGATCCACTGGGTCTTCTACATTTTTCATGGAACTTTATGAGCTACTTCTGTTGAAATCTACAATTCAATACAATGAATAGTATATATTATGTTTTCAAACGTACAGCCAGTTACGTCTTGTGTGTTTATTGAATATGTTTCATGTAACCAGAGGTTTGTTGTTGTTTTGCTCACTAGCTATCTGACCAGCTAGGGAAACACAATTTACATGAAAAGACTGATGTAATGGGATAACGCTCCTTGTATTCCACTGTCCACATCACAATCACTATCTCCTCATCAGCACATGGGGACAACAAACGTAGCAGGATTTGGCAAGTGCGGGGGCCACCGTAAAGGCCACTGAGGGCCACATGTGGCCTGCAGGTTGACCATGTGCTCACTAGAGAGTACCCTAGGCCCTTACCACCATAAAACAGAGGATCAAGCAGGCTAGCCCACTAACCTATATGCCAGCTAGCCATGAGCAGCAGTCCTTCATGCAAGGAGGGATTGTGAGACAATCAGGATTTCCTCTTGCTTGCAAGGAGCCTTACGATGTACCACTTCCAACTTTAGGTGAGGCGCACATCAACTTGAATGGTCATCCATCCCAAGGTACTTCCCTCACACAGACAACTAGGCAGTCAAATAATTGCAAGAGGTGTTGAAATTTTGGGAGGTTGGATAGTTACAATGGAATGGTCTCGGGGGTGGGGTGCACATTTTTACTCTTATTTATTTGTTCAAAATAAAAAATAAATAAAATCAAATTTTAAAAGACCAGGCATCAGGCATATGCCTAGTGACACCCAGTTTTCTATGCAAAGGGAAACTTTTTTGTATGGACTTCTCAGGTTAACTCCACCCAGTGCTATTTTTCTAGAAAATGAGGTGCCGGAACTCACAATGAACACCTCTCTTGTTCTCTTATAATGGCAATGGCGCCCACCTGAGAAGTGTCAGAACTGAGTTCTGTTGAGTTCCGTCTGGGGGGAAAATCCCTAACTCCACCTGTAAATGGATGTGGTACAGCTTAAACAAAGGTTTATTATCCCTCAGTGAATTATAAGCCTGAAATGTGATGCAAGTCAGTTAAAACCAATGGGAAGAGATTGTCACAGTTTTTAAAAATGGCAAAATGAGAAATTTAGCATTGAGGAAATGACAAACTAAGAAATCGTGTGTATTCTCATGTTCAGTCCAGGCACATGTTTACCACTAGAGAGCCATAGAGTGTAACGCTTTGGATTAAGAGTTGAAAAGACCATAAATATTGGCTGAAGACAGCAGAAATTGAAACATCAATTTGATATATGGCCATGAGCTGGAAGACTTGTGCCCTCTTCCACAATAACAAAAAAGAGAGAAAAGGGTAGGATTGGGAAAAGGAGGGAGGGAGTGAAAGACTAGCTAACAAAACTGATGTCCTGATCTTGAGTGATTAGAAAGTTAAAACCAATCAGAATGTTTTGCTTATCTGCTTCAGCCTTGTGCGAAAAGGCCTCATGAGATAGCCTGGCTATTGGTGGATAAGTGCAAGTAAGTATATACAGTGGTACTTTAGTTCTCAAACGCCTTGGTACTCAAACAACTTGGAACCCAAGCACTGCAAACGTGGAAGTAAGTGTTCCGGTTTGTGAACTTTTTTCAGAAGCCAAACGTGCTCTGTTTTGAGTGTTACGCTTCTGATTTGAATGCCATACTTCCGTTCTGAGTGTTACGCTGAGGTCTGTCTGTTTTTGCTTTTTATTTTACGTTTGTTTTTGTGGCTCTTTTTTGTTTTTGTGACTGTGTGGAACCCAGTTCAGCTACTGATTGACTGATTGATTGTGTGACTGCAGTACATTGTTTATTGCTTTCATTTTATGGCTCGATGGTCTTGTTAGTAAAATTCATGTTAAATTGCTGTTTTAGAGGTTGTTTTTAAAAATCTGAAATGGATTGATCCATTTGGCATTACTTTCTATGGGAAAGTGTGCCTTGGTTTTGGAACACTTTGGTTTTGGAATGGACTTCTGGAACGGATTAAGTTTGAGAGCCAAGGTACCACTATGCTTGTAGAAGAGATTTCTTTCAGGTTTGGTATGTGAACAAACCAAGAAGCAAATTAGGAGAGAGAGAGAGAGAACTCACACATGACTTCAATTTTCTACCTGAATTTTACTTAGGAGGAGAGAAGCAAAGATAATTAACACATTTTCAAAATGTGAGAGAGGTGGCAATTTTGAGACCAAATGCAAATTAAGTACTCTTACGTTGCTGTTGTTTTTCTCATGGGAACACTGTAATGGCCATCTCAACTCTAAGATGTCAGACAAGCGGGCTGCATTGGTGGGCTGCCATAGTTTTTTTTTTGCTACATCTGGAAAGTTTGCATCAGGGCATCAGAGCACAGAAGGGAAATAAAGGCATATCCTTTCCCTGCTTACTTTTACCTATGGTTGGGTAAATCTGTAATTGCTGGTTTCTTTCAGTTTCAGTTAAGTCCTGTTTTCCCCATTTCATCACTGGTTTATAGATCTATTTATTTTTAAGGCCTTAATGAAAATTCAGCAGCAATTTAGTGCAATTTTCGCCCTAATATACACATTTTTTTTGTCTGCAATTTTACATAATACAGTGGTACCTCGGGTTCAGTACTTAATTTGTTCCGGAGGTCCGTTCTTAACCTGAAACTGTTCTTAACCTGAAGCACCACTTTAGCTAATGGGGCCTCCTGCTGCCGCCGTGCTGCCGGAGCACAATTTCTGTTCTCATCCTGAAGCAGAGTTCTTAACTCGAGGTACTATTTTTGGGTTAGTGGAGTCTGTAACCTGAAGCGTATGTAACCTGAAGCGTATGTAACCCGAGGTACCACTGTATACACATCTGTTCAAAACTATCCATATCATCTGTCTATCTATCTATCTATCTATCTATCTATCTATCTATCTATCATCTATCTATCCATCTATCCATCTATCCATCTATCCATCTATCCATCTATCCATCTATCCATCTATCTATCCATCTATCCATCTATCTATCTGTCCATCTATCTATCTTACACATTACTTAGCTGGAGAATTGCACTGCAAAATTTGGAGAAGCACAAGTTTTGGAAGATGTCTGGGTTTTAGTTTGCATATTAGTTCAGAAAGTGCAAATTAGGGAGGTTTGCCTTTAAAAGTGAACCAATTGAATCTCACCCTCCCTACTCTTGGCTCATTTTTCTCTCCTCTTCCTCCATTGACTTCCCTATGCTGATGCTTCTGTTGTGATCTCAAGACAAGGAAAAGTCCCCCTGAACTTCATAATGCATTGTGCGCATTGATCACGCAACACATTTCCTGTGCATGTCTATTTGGAGGTAAGCGCTATGGAGTTCAATGGGGGTTACTTCCAGGTAAGTGTGTATTGGATTGCAACCTACATAAGTCAATCAATCAAACAATATTCGTTCCTAAGATTTGTGATCCCACTAAGCAGATACTGCATAGCACCGTTGTTTAAGGTTGAAAAGTCAAAACCATCTTTACCATTCCTACGTAGTGTAGAAAATGTTTGGTTCATAAAACCTCTCTGCTCACAGTCTGGGACTTAAATATATACCAGTGTAACCCAAGCACTGATATGTTAAAGTGACAACTTGTGTTTGTGACAAATGACTCAGAAAAAAGTCATAAATGTCACCCCAAAGCACATCAAGCACAACCAGGGGGGTGGGGAATGTAACAAAGTATACTGTATAATAAAAGAGCTATTATAAAGTACTTTATTTAGTTACATCCTTTAAAAAAATTATTCGTTTTTCTTTTTCATTCATTACATACATCTCATATCCATAACATTTACTATGCATTCCTTCCCTGCTCCCCTCCTGGGCTTCCCCCAACTTCCGTTTCTGGTTTGTTTCTCCTTTCACCCACTTTGCTACCTCCTAAAAGAAGAAAATACTAATAGTATATTTATAAAGTACAGTGGTACCTCGGGTTCAGTACTTAATTCATTCCAGAGGTCCTGAAGCACCACTTTAGCTAATGGGGCCTCCTGCCTGCTGCCGCACTGCTGGAGCATGATTTCTGTTCTCATCCTGAAGCAAAGTTCTTAACCTGAAGCACTATTTCTGGGTTAGCAGAGTCTGTAAACTGAAGTGTATGTAACCTGAAGCGTATGTAACCCGAGGTACCACCGTAACATCAAACCTAAAAACATAAAGATAAAAATGAGTACATTGTATTATTTCTCTATCTTCTACACATTTTCTAATACTAACAATGTGAATGTTTGTTTAAATCCTGCCATCAAGTCTATAGACTTTCTTTGTTTTTGCAAGTATAATATAAATGGTTCCCATTCTTTTTCAAAGTCACTGTTGCCTTTTTCTCTTAAACTGTCTGTCATTTTTGCCAGTTCTGCATAATTCATCAGCTTCTCTTGCCATTGTTCTTTAGTTGGTATTTCTCCAGTCTTCCAATCTTGTGCAATCAACATTTTCACTGCTGTAGTGGCGTACATAAATAAAGTCCTCTTTTCCTTTGGTACATCTTGACCCAAAATACTTAGTAGAAAGGCTTCTGGCTTTTTTACAAAAGGTGTTGTCAACATTTTCTTCAATTCATTATATATCATTTCCCAATAAGCTTTTACCTTTTTGCAAAAAGGTATTTACTTATATCCAACCTTTCCTTCAAGGACCTCAAGATGACATACATAGTCCTCACAAGAACCTTGTGAGGTAGGTTAGACTAAGAGACTATGACTGGACCAAGATCACCCAGTGAGCTTTATGGCTGAGTGAGGATTATGAACCCTCATCTCCCAGGTCTTAGTCTAACCATTACACCACACCAAATCTTTATATAAAAGAACATTGCAGAAAACAGGAAGGAGTTTATACAGCATAGACACATCATATTTCCAAATAGTACCAATAAAGGGGGGCAGGAATTGATGTTCCAGTAGACAGGAAAAAGGAAATTGTG